TTGAAGGTAAGCAAAATGAACCTTACATAATTGAATCAGCATCACTATTTTTTTAAATACATTTAAGCTTAGAGAAAGTTTAAAGGGGATTTTATTGATACGTTTTTTAAGCACTAAAACAAATGCAGATATCTTTATTAATATATTTTCATTTTAAATTAATTTATAAAGCGATTAGAAGATTTTAAATTTTGATTACACTTATGGTAAAGAACTCAGTACCTTGTTTTCATTATTAAAATATAGAGAAAAAGAGCTCTAGCAAGATAGGATTAATAACATGATGGGACTATAATTTAAAAAAAAAAAAAACAAATTTTTTGGTTTGTTGTTTTTTTAAATCATTTGAGAAATGATATATAGAACTTTAATCTTGATTAGATTGATTTTTATCAGTTTTGATTTGTTAAGTTTGCTTGATTAGTGTGGAGCTTTGTTATTATTTTGTTGTGAATAGTTGATTATTGATGTATGCATGTAAAGATCAATTTAATTTTTTAAAACACAAAATTTATTTATATATATATATATATATAAACAATGATACGATAAAGATAAATAAAAAAGTTAATGACTTTTCATTATTATATAAATGTGAAGAATAGTTTTATTTTATATTGATATTGATGTATATTAAACCATGTAAAAAATAATTTTTTAAAAAATGAAAGAAAAAAAAATTTAACATATACGAAAGCATGTAAAAGAAACTAACCTTTAAAAAAAAAAACATTAAAATAAAAAAAATTGACTCCTGCAACAACGTGCTTGTGAAATTCTAGTTGATCTAAAATGTGTAATGGCTAGACCTGGTAACAGGATCGTGCAAGCCAAGCTGGTGGGTATGTCTTACCCTTTGTTATTTGTACCCTTTTTTTTTTCTTGTTTCAAAATGGGGTCAGCCTGTTTTTGTTATTCTTTTGCTTGCTGAGATGCATGTTCCATCTTGATCTCCTAAGCTAGATTACAGTGTTTCTTTTCTTTGGTTTTAGTCCCTGAAAGTATAGCGACAGAAGCAAATTTCAGTAATTGATTCAGAAAAAATTTTGATAATCAATTCACTGTAATAACAACATTAAAATGGACGTAAAATGAAAGACCTCATTGGATAAATGATCTTTGTGATGAATTGCATATCAAAGAAGAACCATGGTGAGGAGATAAATTTTGAAAGATCTGAATTGCAAGTGCTTGTAAGGACATGGGAACTGGCAAAACTAGCTTGGTACGCAGATTTGTCAAAGGCCAGTTTAGTTATCACTAGATCCTTGTTCTTCCCTTCTTTAACCTCTACATAATTTGTCTTCTTAGGTCCAACTAAATGAACAATGAAATAAATTTTGATGAGATTGAAAATAATGATAGAGATAAATTTAATTACTGTAATAATAAAATTAAAATTAATATAAAATATACGTTTGAATATAAATGTAATAGTAGCAATAAAAAAAATTATAGTGAAAAAAGAATATAATCATAAAAAACATATGATTAACTTCATGTATGATGAAAATTTTAAATTGTCATTTATAAAATTAATAAATAATTATAAATTATTTAAATATAAATAAAAAATAAAAACAAAAACAATACCTATAAAATTATGAACATTTTTTAACAAAATAATATTAAATATATGAAATATAAAATATAAAATAAATTAATTTACATATAAATAGAAAATAAAAATAAAAACAAAACAAATTCAACCAAAAAAAAAAAAAGGATATTATGGGTAAAAGGTCAGTCCAGTGAGCAACCGGACCTTTTTGTTCCAGCCTAAAATTGTGGCTGTGATGCGATGCTTCACTGCATTAATTGTTATCTAAACAATCCATCTCATCGAAAAGGTGCTTGGCCGCACCACGCTGGAGGAAAAGTGAAAACCAAATGGAACCTATATATGTCTAACTGTAGTTAAAGGGGCTTAAATTTGTCTAAATTTAAGAACCAACGATCGGGGCAGCCTTTTTCACTCATACTTTATCGGTAACTGAAGCCACTCTAAAGTTTGACATTTAGGACAGAGCAGGACAAGAAATATACCATGGCTTTGCTCCTATGTAGTATCGAGGTGCAGCTGCAGCTGTTGTTTATGACATCTCAAGCATGGTAATTTCTGATTGATCTTCATGCAATTAAATTTAGTTCGTTAAAAGCATGGTTAGATTAGGTAATTTTAGTGATTATATCAGGAGTGTTGCAGTAGTCGTTAAAAACTATTTGTTGCAACTTATATGGAACTTAAATTGAATCATTCATTGCAAGTTGATGAGACGAGTCTTAGGCCTTCGTTTCTTCTCCTTATTTTTCCTGTTGTTGACGTGGAGACTCGCAACTAAGTTTTAACAAAAAAAACTTACGGTTTTGTTTTACAAAAAATATTATAAATTTAAGTTTTAACATATATAACATAGTAGATTTTTAATTTTTAGAATACCTGAACATAATATTAGGGTGTTACAGTTTATAAAGGGAAAAGTTAGCAAAATGAAAAATCATGTTAACTGAAAGACATAGAATGTGATGTGAATTTTGCCCAAAAGATTATATAGAAAGTATTCATTGCAATGCCATTTAAATGCATGCAACAGGCTCACGCCACACCCTTCCCCTACCCATCCTTTCCTTCCACCATTTTTGTCTGCCAGAGTTCTCACACTGCCAAGATATTTGCTTTCAGATACCCAATTCTCTTCTCTTTTCTCTCTAATGGAATGCATCATTTCTTTTCAAAGTTTTTGAATAAACTTATACCTGCAGCAATTCAGTATTTTTTTTTTTTATGTACTGGAAAATGAAAGTGTATGGCTTGTTTAGGTTGCCTGAGGCTACGGGAAAATGATTGGTAGATGATCATTCCAATACTATGGAATATTATTCCAAAGTCATCTTGTTGACTACTGAAACATTTATTTCAATGGCATAACTCTGTTTTTTGTTTTCTTTTCTTCAGGATACCTTTGCTCAAGCGAAGAAATGGGTTCAAGAACCGCAAAGACAAGTTGAGAGCATAAATTTGGGCAGTGATGCTTTTATGATGCCTTGGTATCTTTCAGCTCAAGAGACTGTTTGTATTCACTGATCTGGCCGACTCCAATTTTCCGAGTCTATGTCTACTCTATGCAAGTGCTTTCAGTCTGTGTTTACTCTAAGCCTGCAATGGTTTTTGGTTATGGAATGATTGTTTAGCTATAGATACACAGCTAATTTGTTCAATATGTGATCTTACTTACTAAAGGAAATCCAAATTTAGTGATGATGCTGGTGGCAAAACAAGTCAGACTTGGACTCAAATAGAGAGGTTTAAAATGAGGTATTTGCAAAACGATTCCCTTTCAAATTTCGGAGTAGCATAATTTTCATTATCAGGAAAAAGAATTGCCAACAGTTCTTAAGTGCTTAAGAGTGCTCATCCAAATAGCAATCTTCATACCATTGCTAGAACACTCCCCTGGAGACTGGGGATTTTTTCAATACAAATTCCCATCATAGTGCTCCCCGAGGATGACTCCATCAAACATACCTTTATTGTCGATATTTAATTTTTCCTTCACTTTTATTTATTTCTAGGATGGAGAACAATTTGCTCAAGAAAATGGAATGTTTTTCCCAGAAACATTTGCAAAAGCCGTACAGAACGTCAATGAGCTTTTCTATGAAATAGGTATTTCGTCTGTGCCAATGCTTGAGACCCACTGTTCTTCGATATACTACAAATTGCCCAATCAGGCATTCTCCTGTACCACTGAACATGCATGAAGCCTTTATGTTCCAAATATGCAAACTTTGAGGATTCAACATTTTTTTTTTCTCATCCTTTTTTCTAGTGAACTGAATTTGCCAACTACCATTGTTTGCTCCTTTCCTATGTGCAGCAAAGAAGTTGGCAAGAGCTTGCCCTCCAAATCCATCAGGGACAAATCTAAACAATAAAAGACAGGAAAGAAGCGGAAAGCTATTTTGTTGCTTAAGATGAAAGTCATACCATGTCAAGAATCCCAGTATAACCCATTTGATCTGACACCTGTCTACTTGTTCCGAGCAAGATCATTCCTTCCAGAGTTCTATGCCATTTCTTATTTGTAAATAAATTGCTCACAGGCTATTAAAATTGCTGTAAATGAGTATACTGCTTCATTATTTGTATAAATGCTTATGAAGTTTTTTTTATGACCATACATGCTGTCCATAAATTTCAAAAATAGCCACAAGTGCTATACTAATACAAGTTGTTTTCAATTCAAAGTTAAATAAGCAAAAATATTATGTCCCAAATCCTAAATTCGGTTCAGTTATTTCATGTAATCACTCTTAAAAGATGATATTAGTAGATCTAGAGTTCAAATCCTAACACCAACACCCTTTTCCCTTATTCCCAGATTGCTGCCTCCCTTATTAAAAATAAAATAATATCCAGTTATTTCTACATTTTTTTTCCTTTGTAAAAAAGATGTCACCGGTAATTAATCACAGTTGTATCAGATGCAATTTCACCTGCATACTCATGTTAATTTTAGGGAAAGTAAAAGGGGTGAATGATCACTACAAAGTTGAGTGTTAGAAACTTACAACCAATAAAAAAAAAACAACAAAGGAAAAATTATTGTAGGAAGTAAAGTTTTCTCATGGGAGTAAAACAGAAAGACAAACATATAAAGGTAGGGGAAAACCATCATCAGGCAACCCCCTAGTCTAAAGCTCCAGAGACCTACCATTTCCACCAAGAAAAAAATTGAAAACTCATTCCTTTTGGTAACTCACAGCTGGTTCTAGTTTGATTCAAACACCTGCCAAACAACTGGTGAAAAACAGCAATATTTTGAAGAATAAGATTTTGAAAAGCCGGAAAGAGCGATCTGTTGAACAAAAATGTGGCCTTGACCAATTCATCCAACATAACACATACGATGACTGTGAGCTTCTGACATCGATTATAGTATTAAAATTCGTATCAAAGTAATAATTACATATACGTATTAGCGTTTGTCGTATACCTGTCTGTTGAACGAGTTTATCTATATAAATCAAATAAAATTACATTATACATAGATAGAAAGAAAATCACATAAACATACAACCACTTCTATGAGACATGACTTGGATTCTTTGTGCGTGATATGGACCTTAACTCTCCATACATTCTTGTACAAGTGAAGGCAATACCTGTCATTGCTCTAAAAAGCTCTGGCATGCGAGTTTTAAGATTAACCAAAGACTTCTCCCTCACCTGAACGCATAAACTCTTATATGCCTCTTCCTCTTCTGCCAGCCTCTTCTTTACGGATTCCAACATAAACATCCTTTCAGCAACAGCATCATTGGTAGGGTTGCTTTCTGTCCTCTCTGGGTCCAACTCTGGTGTTCTTCGCTGCATATACTTATGGTGCCAATCATCAAATTGTCGTTGCTTCTTTAGAAGCTCCTTCTGAGATTCCTCACATTTTTCCTTCAGATGCATTTCATCTAATTGATGCTGCACAATAGAATCTATCACGTGAGCAAAGTTATTAATGGCACTTCTTGCAATCTCATCTGTAAGTTTCTCAAACTTGTCCTGCCAAGCAACAAGGAGCCTTCGAATTGGGGGATTTTCATCCCTCGGAGGAGAAGAAACTTTCTCCTTCAGGCTGCTTTCAATGGGAATGAGATTTAGCCTTAACCAATTGTTCAGGGCTTTTATGTATACTTTCTGGTAGTCAAAAAGCTTACAAAACTGCATGTGCCAATCCTGCACAATTGCTAACAGCTGGATGGTGCGCTCATGGTGGTGCTTACTTGTTTCCTTTGGGGATTGAGAGAGGTCCAGATTATCTTTCAGGACTGTCACTTTCTTAGATTGGCTCTCATGTTGAACTTTCATGGTTTCCCACATTGTCGCCATCCTGCAATTGACAAAACAATCACAGCACAACCCAAGCTTTGAACAAGGAAACAAAATTCAATGGCTTCATCATCTGTTAAAGCATCTTAGACGCATGTAACTTTATACAACCCTAAGCAAACACACAAAGTTGATCACAGGACTTAAGCTTAAGTTCCTATGAAAAAAAAAAAAAAAAAGAAGGAAAAGGGCAGAACACAGTGTAAGGTTACATGCATCAAGGAATGAAGGTTACTACCCCATATATTCAAAAAAAAAAAGGGCTAAGAAAAAAAAGGACAGCTCAGCCATTCAAAATTTTCTTGGATCAAGTCATGGGCCTTTTCTGAGAAAGTCTAGTATAAAGTTAAAACAATGAACTGTAACTTACCCATCAACAAGCTGAACAAGTTTTGGATATAGCTGTTCATCTCGTAACCGATTTATCTCTGAAACTGTTGAATCCATGGATTGCATGTCAACAATATATCTGGTATGTAGATGACTTACTGCTGCTTTAGCCTTTTCGAGTGCTTCAGAGTTGGTCCCTCGTTTCTTTAGTTTGTTTAGAGTGGCAACCTTCCTTTGGTACCCAAACTTCATAAGCTCACCTGCCTATCCATCAACAATCAAACCCAAAGAGGATCAAAGAAGTGCTTAATTGTAACTGAATCAAACAAAAGCGCATAAACTGCACTCCTTTAGAAAGGAGCAGATGTGTACGAATTGACACAAGGTTGCTTTTTAAGCAATCCAACTCAGTATCTGACACTAGCCCATGCCAGAACAAGGAACTAAGCTTATTGCTAATTGACAGAAGAAGATATGAGTATTCATGGAAACAAAACAGACATTGCGTTAAAGAAAATCAGGAATTAAATATAGCAGCAATTTAGTATCTATGTTATCTTGAACAAAAGTAAGCACCAGAAGAATATTTTTCATTTCTATCAACAAGGCTGCTACAGGGTATTTCTAGCAAAACAAAATAGAATTTGAAAGGGCTTGTCCTTTACATGTGCACTCATAGCCATATTCCATATGATACCTCTTTTTCTCTTACCCTCTCCATGATGTTATAGCATGCCTTGCCTACAAGTCTGCAACACAATTGACTTCAAACTATAACATGTCAACATTGATCATCTTCTCTAGAATAATCACAGCTTAGGACTTGAGTGACTGGTGAAGATAAGATTTCCTTCAGAGGGGGGGGGGGGGGGGGGCAATGACCTACTAGCCAAACTGGACCTTGAGTTTGTACGTAAGTTACTGAACTAAGATGACAAATGTACACTTTTTTTTTTGGTACGCTCAGAAAAGGAATAATACAGTTACATCCCACTAGTTATCTACTACAAAAGGATTGGTACCAGGAAAAATTACTCAGATTTAACTCGATGGATGATTCAACATACAAGGAACAAATTAATTCTACAACAAATTACTGATGGTCCCAGTTTATGCAAGCATGCATGTGTTCACATGATCCAAACAAACAGAACTTGCAGCAGAGCAGTCACAATCTGAACTGTGATATAAAAGTCTAAAATATTTGTCAAAGGGCAAGTACCAGCAGTGAATCAATGCACAACTAAAACATCCCTCGCTTTGTATTCAATAACTATTCAAGACAAGGTAACTACATAAACAGGCCCTTCAATCTTGAATGTTCAATCATGCAATAAGGAATAAGATTAGCATTATGAAAGAATTGAATGTATTATGCAGGTTTAATTTGTCAAGAAGAAGGTATCATATCATTGAGCATTTTAAACCAGACGTTTTATACTGTCAAAAATAAGCAACAGTATGGTGGTCAATCAGTAGAAAATGGAAAATGAATAAGAGAACAACTGGCAGAAGAATGAAGAGAAAGAAACTCTTTAATATACCTTCACTTCATCATAAAGCTTTTTTTCCCATGCAAGCATTTTATCCAATACAGTGGCATGAGTTTCATTCTCCTCTGAATCAAAATCATCCTTGGCATTATCAGCATTGTCTAATTTTAATCCTCTAAATGACCGATTCCAAGTAATAACACGCATCACTCTTGCAGAGTGATCAATGAGTCCTGAAAAGCATAAATTAAGATAATATAAAACCTGTTTAAGCTACGTTATATGAATAAATAATCAAATTGTTCCATTCCTGAAGGAAAGAGAAAAAACACAAAGTAACTAGTCAAATTGTTAAACTTCACCGTTAGGATCTTGCATAGCTTATCTCCAGTTAATAGTAATTTAACTCTTAATTTCTATCTGCACAAACCAACACAGTTATACACTAAAACAGAACTCGAAAATGCTTGCCATTCAATGAAAAGAAGAGCTCTCTATAAACTGAAGCAAAACCATCTAAGCAAAATTGTGTTTCACTAAACCAAAATTGACTGACTTTTTTAACAAAGTTTAAACTACTGATATGCAGTGAATAAATCTAAAACCGAACCCTCTAGCTCTATGCATCATGCAAGATCCATCACCATCCAAAATCGAAATCTCAAGAATTCTCATTCTAATAACCCAATGTTGTATGGGAATGAAAATCCAAATTTAATTATCACCGCACTCAACTCATATTTGCAAATTCATGCAAGAGCCATTAACTTCGAAATCCTATCTCAGAATTCTTATGCTGAATTGCTGATACCAAACGTTATGCATTTGAAACATAATGAAAATTCTGTACAATTCAACTAATTCATGTAAGAGAGATTTAACAATCCAAATCAAAATCTTAACAATTCCACACTGATTCTCAATTTCATAGTACTAAAGTGAAAATCCATTACCTCGATTATCTGCAAAATTAGAGTGATAATGCAACCTAGTAGCCTCCAACATCTTTGAAACCTCATGAGCACTGTCTGAGGCCCTCAAGAAATCATCATCAAGTTCTGCAAACACCTGCAACAAATTAAAATTCCCATTCTCCAACCTCTTCTCCCCTGTACTACTAAACCCCACTTTCCCACCCTTCTTGCTGCCCTTCCCTACCCCAGCCGTTGATGCTACCGGCTTCTCCACCTCCACTGCCGTCTTCTGCCCCTTCTCCACAGCCACCTCCTCCTTCCTCATCTTCTCCTCCACCATCTCCTCTTCAACTCTTTTAGGCATTTCCTCAAAAACCTTCCTTTCCACCTTCCTGTTCTCCACCCACGTTTCTTCCACCTCCCCTAAACTCGGTCCAGGCACACTATCTTCCGTGGGAAAGATGTAATAGAAAGTCGAATCGTGGGGTGGCTGTGATTGCATTGCACGCGCCTGCACCGTCGTTGTCGTCACCCTTTCCTCCACCTCCTCCGCTTCCGCTATCACTTCCTTCCTACTCCTACCACCACTACCACTTCCCCTATAATTCCTTGATTTTCGCTTCACCAACCTATCACTCGCTTCCAAGTCCTCGTCCTCCTCATCCTCTTCAATGATCGGGCTCGTCGACGTTTCCCTTTGCTTCTCTTTCAACGGCATCTGTATCGGCATACTAGCCGACCGTTGGATCGGGACCACAGGATCTCCGGTGAGGTTCCCGGGAGGCGGAGGCGGAGGGAAGAGCTTGTCGACTGGAGGCGGTTGCGGGGGTAACACGAACAGCGGCCCAGGTTGAGAAGGGAGGCTGGGATCCTGGACCTCGCCGTGGACGTAGTCGCTTAAGGCGGCGCCGGTGTTTTTTAAGGACATGGCATAGGCGGAGTGGGCGGCGGCGAAGGCATTCCGCGCCGCAACCGCTTCTTTCATGAATTGCTTTCTCTCTTTGCAGCGGGTAACGGCTTCTTCGTTGTCGATCTTCGATTGCGTACAACCCATCTCTCCCCCCAGAATTCCAAAACAAAAGAAATAAAAATTTTAGGGATTTTTAGCCAAACTTGAAAATTTTATTTACTACTTTCATGCCATAAAAAGTTGTCTTGAAATAACATTTAGTTGAAAAATCAAAGAAAACCCATTTTACTTTTCCTTTTTTTGTTTTAAATAAGAGAAATTCAGCTAAAATATCTTATAATCGACGGAAATCAAAATTAAAATTAAAATACTTCAAAACTTTCTGCAAAATCAAAATAAAAAACACACTATTTCAATGCTTGAGAAGAAAGGAGTGCTTATTTTCTGCTTCGGTTGAAGGCTAGAGAGTTTTTCTGTGTCTACAGGCGTGGCAGAGTCATGAAGAAAGAGTGTTGTTCTTTTTGGAGTGCGTGCAACGATGTCGTTTCTTCGTTAAAGACTGTGGGATAGGAATGGACAGATTTTTTATTTTTTGTAATTAATGTTTATATTAAATATAAAAATATTTTTAATAATCGAATTGTAAATTAAGAAAGGGAGAATATTTTAAAATTCATGAAATCAATGAAGTAATTAATGATGAAGATAAGATTAAATGATGATTGGGGTACAAAAATACTTGTGAGATTAAAAAAATGGTTGGGGTCAAGCTTTGCCTTTGTCTTATTTATTCAATTCTTTAATTTATCTTTTTTTTAAATATATTTTTCTCATCAATATATTTATAATAATGATATTATTTTTTTTTCAGATACATTGCATTAAAACAATGGGGTCCAGTGTGAACTGGAAAGATGGAGAAAGACGTCGAAGTTGAAATGTGGAAGTGGAGTGAAACACATATCATGTCAGAGAACCGTTTCTTTAGATAACGACTCTGTCAGGAACGTCCATCCTTTCACTTTCGTTTCTTATAATGTTTGCTTTATAGTTACGCACTTATTCAACTTGTTCTGTTTTGTTTGTTTTAAAAGTAGCTTTTTTTTTCCCCAAAAGTAGCTTTGGCTTTGCTTCGAAATAGGTATAGCAATTTTTGTAGTATAAAATATTGTCACTTGTGTCATAATTTATATAAAAATTATATATTATTTTTATTATATAAAAATATAAAATATATTTTTATTTTATTAAATTTATATTAATATTTATTAAAATTTTTAATTTTTAATTTTTTACTTTAATTATTACATTATATTTTAAATTGTTAGATTTAGTTGAAAATTAAGATTAGATTTGATACTTTTTTTACCTAGAGTTAATATTATAAACTATTTTTAGATTATAATGAAATATTTAATATAATATATGAATTTTAACAATTTTTAATATGTTTATATGAACTATAAATTTATTAATTAATATAGTATTCATTTATAATATAATTAGTTTTTAATAATATTACATGAAATTTAAATAATTTTTTAAATATTATATTAATTAATAAATTATAATTAAAATATTATATGAAAATTTTTTAAATTCATAAATTGATCAAACATTGTTTGTATTATTTTTTATATAATATAATAATATGATAAAAATAATATAAAAATGTGCAAAATAATTATATTTAAAAGTTAATAAAAATTATATATTGATTTAATAAATGTAAAAATAATATTTTATATTTAATATATAATTATAAATAATAGTATAATAATTTTTATATTTTACAAAACGATTTAACTGGAACGCACCACTTCTTGGAATTCTTCCCTTGGATTGTGGATAACGCTGCCTTACCTGTTTCTCCGGTCTCTTCTTATCCTTACGTATAGTAAGATTTAAGATTTTCGTGGGCCTTTCTTACCTTTTAATTTTTTGACAATGGATCAAATAATAGAACTTGTAGCCGAAGAAAATAGAAAATCGGACTAACACAAACTTTTTTTTTTTTATTCCTCCTTTTCAAACAAAATATAGTGGTACCAATTATGCTTATTTTAGTTAATTACTAAAAAAAAAAAAACTTTCAACCTGCTTGAAATAGTAGTAACACGTTGCTCTGCTTTGCTGATTGGTCGCATTAATCACTAAAAGACACACTTTTCTTGTTAAAGCTCACCCTCCTGATTAGGAGCCATCGTGTCTTACTTTTCAATATCAGCAAACCAACCTGTTTGAAACTTACCATACTTTTACTATTTCACGTCACAATTTATTTTATTTTATTTTTTCATTTTTGCTTTTCAAGTTTAATTGGTTAGACTATATAGTTTTTATAAAAATATATACATTTTAAATATAATGTTTTTCTTAAAAATAGATATTGTGATTTAAATTTTAACTAATAGGAAAATTTTCAAATAACAATCTACAAACATAATTTTTTATTATAATTATGATATCTGATTATTAATTAAAGATCTGCAACACAAAAGTACAGTAAAACCTACTAGTGTTTATAAAAAAAAAAAATACAAGGTCATTTGGCTATGAGATTGGAAGTCAGGCAAGCACAAAATTTATGGATTGCATTTCCAAGAATCTGGGGGATGGGATTGGGGCCTACCGCAACAGCTTGATCCTTTACGCTACATGACAATAGTCGGCATCTTCGATCAGGGGAACAAGAGTACAAGAAAAAAGAAAAAACATTTTTTAATTGCCTTGAATTTGGTTTAATCTCCAATGTCCCCCTGTTTCCACTTTTATTCAGTTTTATGTTCTTAAATCATGATTTCTACTTGGCTACGAAAAGGTTAAGACATGCTTGCCTGCCAGGTTCTGGCACTGGAATCTGAAAGGAACTGAAAAAGAGAAATGGAAAAAGACAAAGATTTCCCTTATATTTGATTCCAAATAAAAATCCTAATTGTATACAACCAAACACAGCTTAATAAAGTTTGAAAACTTACAGTCCAAACTTCAACACCTGCACGGCACCAGTGTTCTTAATATGACCGTGGAATTGATAGGAATGCATGAGAATTGGAGAACCAAGCATTATATCAAAGAGCTCGTAATTAATTATTTGGCGATTTTATCTATACCATGTCTAATGTGTAAAATATAAAAATTATTATAACAATTTGTGTCACGGCCTATCAAACAGAAGCAATTTTATAAGCCTAAGTTTGTATACAACCAATTAGAAGATTTTCGATTATACCTTTCCTTTATTGTATCTAATCTGCCAAAGCTCGACATCCTTGCCCCTGTCATATTCCCCCACATACTGTGGAATTTCAGCAACATTAATACGTAGACCCCTAAAACAAGGAAAGGAACCAGGTTCAAGGCCTTCACATTCTGCATCATCCATTGCAAAGACACATCAGGAGATAAAACTCAAAAGACAGGAAACTTATGGCACGATATACATTTTTGCATGGTAAGATACCTACTGTCACCCTCCCTCAAGTAACTTCTGAAGTGCGAATAACCATTTGCTACAACATCAAGATCATCAAGACTGAAGTTGTAGCGCTTTTCCAGTGCCAAGTATAACACCTGAAAATCAGAGGGTGTGATTGATGATTGTCCAACTGATGGATGGGGGACTTCAAAGAGCATAGTCTAAGCAGAAAAGAATGAGGCCTAACATAGATTTAAGAAAAGAGACATGTATGGAATATGTTCACCAATCGCGACAACTTGGTAGCAATTTTATCATATATTAATGTGTACAGGCAATAGAATTCAGCCAGTTGCCTCACAATGCACCAATTGAAATCCACCTAGATATACATCCATCCTGACTTCAATCAGAAGGCTAGCAATAGATCAATTTGGATAATTCGCAGCCACATGAGAAAATTTTCTCAAGTCCAAGATCTTCCTTTGAATTTTCTACCTCTGATAATAAGTTCAATCGTCAGCTTGCAAGAAAATTAACTATGAGGTTGATCCAAAACCTAAATCATGTGACATGTAAAAACACAGTAGAGAAGATTTTTAACTATGACACTCATTAGTACAATCTGCTTGTGTTTTGTTACCTATACCATACGCTGGTAAGTGACCATTCTACCATGTTAACCATACCTTTCCCGAGCCTTGTGACATTAATCTCTCTAAAATACCAAACAATGCATCTGTCAGATCATCACTGTAAATAACATCAGCAGCTAAAAGCAGAGAAGCTTTCTGGACTTCTTCAACTTCGGAGGAGCTCCATGAAAACCTGGATTTCATCATTTAAATTTAAAGGGTTGAGTTCTTATCTCCTCCATGAAATAAGTACATCATAATCATAAATGGAAATAATACAAATACTTCTCAGATTTTAAAACCAGTCTAACAATGAAACCATATGAATCACCTTTCTTGAGATGCAAGGTCCAAGCTAACTTTAGGAGGCCAGGGGTGCGCCCAATCAAGTTCACGCACATAAACTACGCCTTGATGATTGAGGACTCCAGAATTAAGTTGAATGTTCTTAACACAGTTATCCAGGATTTTATCACCATGATCTGCAGCAATAACGCAGAACCTAAGTAGTTGAAGCAAACTACTATAACAGGTAATTAAAGTAAGTCAAAGCATCACAACAGATAAATAATAGCAGGTCTCACCTGTTAAGAACACCATCTCAGCAACACGTGCAAGCAACAAGCCTGCCAGTCCTGGTAAAGACAGTGCAAAAAATTCCTGTCATACGAGATGTACTAATGTTTCAGATTTGGCGTTCTGAGATTTTTCAAGCTAGATAACCAACACACCCCAGTACACACAGAATACATTTTCCCAAAGATAAGTATAAGAAAACCATGACCAGTGAATGGCATTTGAATTTTTCTTATTCAATAAAATCGAATTTATTAACAAACATAAGCAACTGACTAAGATCGTTTACACTATAATGCAATCATAAGAGAGTTAATATAACTAGCAAGCACATTTCATTGAGAACTTCTCATCTGGACACATTCATAAATAGAGAAATATAAGTCAAACTTCGTCAAAAGTCCAATGCTCATCAATTTCAACAATTACATACATATGTTACAACTCCCCACAAGCAGGTTTAGCAACTTTGAAAGGTTTATCCCATCTGGGGAAAAGATCAACCTTGATAGGAGGCAAAGTAACTTCTGGAATATGGTTTTTATGGGAGGTTTAAGAAAGCATGTGCCAATTACACAAATTGCCCTTTTAGTGGGTACCCTTTGTCTTTGTGGTATTCAAACCCTTGCTTGTTTTTGGTCCAAAGATGAAATTCTTAGTGAAAGTTGGCTGTATTCACCGATTTTTGCAATAATAGCTTTGTTCATGGCCAGATTAACAGCATTTTATATGTTTCGGATCTATTTACTTACTTTTGAAGGACATTTAAACATTAATTTTCAAAATTATAGTGGCAAAAAAAGCGATCGGAAATGTAATTCATACAAAACAGATGACACTGATATGTACTTTGTTTTTATGTAAGCACATAAAATACCTGTTCCAGCACCAAGCTCTAATGAGACAATGCCATCGAACACAGTTGAAGTGCACATCTTATGTAACACAAAATCCGATAAAACTAGTTCAGCTTTCCACACCTAAGAGGCGAAAAACGGACTCAACAATTAAGCCTTGGGTTGTAATACCTAAGTAAATGGCTTATAAAATGAAATTATAAACATCATAAGAATCGAATGATCACCTGCAAACCAACACTAGGAATGGATGAAGTGATGTTGTGCTGGATTTTCATAGTGAAACAACGCCGAGAAACCTCTGTAAATTAAACAGAAAATAATTAAAAACAATTAAAAATAAAGACGAAATAAAAGCTTCTTCGAGGTATTGAAGTTAATTAGTTACTTACGGCGTCGTCTTGGTAAAAGAAGGTCGCCATCTTCATCAAAGCCAATGCCTTGTTCCGTACAAGATTCTTCGTCTTTGAACAGTTCATTGAATCTGCTGGATTCAACTTCTAAAAAAAATCTGATTAATTGATTTGTTTTCTATTTAAGAAAAATGATAATTTGGAATAAAGTGAAATACCAGAAGGCACAGAAATGGTGAAGCGGGAAATATGGGGCCCATAGATGCCAGGTGGACATCCCAGATGGACCTCGCTCATCACTTGTCGCCGTTCCTCTGTGTCCTCATTTGAATCACCGCCGTTCATTTGCCTCGAGACAAGCTTTGTTATTTTCCGGTTATGATGAATGCGGCGGCGGAGGTGGACGTGGTGGACGTGAGGAGCCGAAGATACAACTCCGTTGTCCGGTTTTATAATTTGGGAGAAGACGGTGAGGGAGGAAGGAACAGATCACATAAGCAACCTAAACGACGATGAGTTCTGCGTTTTAATGCAAGGAAAAATGAAAAGTAAAAGACCGTAGTAGTATAGTACAATATAATTGGATACGGTTTGAATATTTTAGATAACGTGTAATATTATAAAGTTTTAAAGTTTGATGGAATTTGAATTGATTTTTTTTTAAATCGAACAAATTCTATTAATTTGCTTCATCAATATTTTAAAATTTTTTATATATTATTTTATATAATTTTTAATATATTTAAATATAAAATAATTATTTTATTTTATAAAAATTTAAAATATACAATTCGATTCAATTTAATATTTTTAACTTTTCAATTCAAAATTTAATCTATATATAATATATATTTAATATATAAATTAAATCCAAATCGAATAAAAAATTTAATTGAAACAAAATCAAATAATATAATTATAATATAATTCGATTCAATTTAATATTTTTTTATTTTTCAATTTGAAAGTTAGTTGATACATAATATATATTTAATATATGAATTAAATTTAAATCGAATAAAAATTTAATTGAAACGAAATAAAATGGTGTAATTATAAATTAATTTTTGATTTTTTTTAATTTTTTTCACCTCAAATGATAAATAGTGCCTTTTATTAATCTTTTTAGACGTTGTATTTAATGACCAAGACCATATATATATATATATATACATATTTATTTATTTATTTATACCAAGACACATTTGTTGAATTAAAAAAAGTATACCTCAAGAAAAATATGGATGTTGAATTATAAAATAACATAGAAATAACGATATTTGTTGTAATGCAAAAAGGTTATGAAATTTATAGATGTATAATAAAGTTTAAAGACATCAATAAGTAAAGTTGTAATTGGTAATAGATGAGGTGTAAATAACATTTAAAGGTGAATCCAAAGTTTATCTCGATTATCATACAGGCTAAATATTTGATTATATATTTTTTTTATTTTCTTTGCGCGTAAAGACCATCACTTATTAAGGCCCTTCTTATTTTAAAGATTGTTATAAGATTAAGGAAAAAGTGAGAGAGTTGCTGGTAGTTTCAAGAATATTGAAATGCAGCTGCTAGATGTACAATCATTAAAGTGATATGCAGCACATTGAATTTTAAATCTCTAACATCCGCCATACTTTTCTTATCCGCAGATTATGGCTTTTTTCATAAAGAAAAACATATAAAGCTTTATAGTTGTCTCTCGTACAAAGAATCCCCGGTGATTGGTGAACTGAATTATGGCTACTCAGGATTTTAAAGGCAAGTCCTGTAATTCTTTGCTACTTCGACAACCCTGGTCTGCTTATTTCTATCATGTATGGAAAGCAAAGAATTATTGTAGACACTCTAGTAAGGCTCCGGTTTTCTACCAGATTTTTGTTGATGTCATTAAGAGAAGCGTTTAAATTTAAACCAGCATAAAGTTCCAGATTATGTAGTTTTGCCGATTGCCATGTTCTTCTGATGAAAATTTCAAACTTCCTTTCTCTACAATAATTGGCAACAAATCTGATTATCTGAAGCAGACAATAGCTTCCTGCATTTTACCAAATCAATTTTAAACCTGTTAATGAAGATTGTAATTCATCTTTCGAGTTCTAATCATTGACAGAAAATTAGCCAAAATCTGTACGCAATACTATCATCTATATATATCCAAATACGTTTAAAAAAGCTTTTCTTTTGCTTTTTTGAATGACAATGCAATTCTTTTTTTCATAATCATATGTGGAGCTATATGGTGAAGAATGAACCAACAAACTAAATTCCTATAGATGCCTTTCAAATGTCAAAATACTAGAAAGAATTAGAATGAATATAAGGTAATATCTCTATTGGCCTAATGCTATTTTCTTTTATTCCCTTTGTAGAGCGGAAGCCTAGTTACCAAATCATCATATTCTGGTAGCTTGGGATGCACATGCCTAGCAAAGATGTCTGCCTGGAATGAGGAGGCTCCGGTGTGCCTTCTAGCTTTCTCAGTTGGACTTGTTGCGGCTCCGCCTGGAGAACTTGGATCAGATTTAGTGCTTTGGAAGCTTGAGCCTCCCTTGGTGTCTTCAGCTGTTTGTCTTCCAGAAGGAGGTGCTAGATTTGCTTTCCATTTGCTCACCCATTCATAGAGTGACTTTTTCTGACTGTAATGCATCAAACGCCCATCCATCGTCTTCTCCTCTTCATCTCTCTGATCACTTTCTTCCATTTGTAAGGATGCCAAACCCTTTCTTGCTTCTTTGTGATGCACTGCAGTTGGACTAATACTTGCAGCCCCATCATTTCCAAAACTGCTTAAACCTTCTCGACCTGGGGGTGGTTTCAACGGTCTCCTCCTAACTGATCTTGGTTTTGGCTTACTTTCACCGGCTGAATCATTCGTTTTATTGTTTTTCTCATTATCGGTATTACCACTTGGTGTTGTGGGCTCCAGCAGGCTGCTTCTTTCTTTGCCAAGGGATGACCTGACATAAGGGGGAGGAATGAATCTGTAGTTAAAGGGCTTCCAGTTTTCTACACCATCCTCGGAAACACTTTCAACTGAAGTGGAACTAGTCTTTGGGATATCTTGATCTGTCACTTCACTTTCACTGCTGCTATGCAGCTTGTCCTTATCATCAGTGTCCTCCTTTCTCCCATGAGAAGTGAGGTCTGTTTCATTTCTTTTTGGCCTCCTGTACTCATGCATGTTAGTCAGTTCATTCTCATCGTCATCATGATTGTTGCTTTTCTGGGAGGTATCGTTCTTGCTTCCGTACAACTTGAATCCATCATCATCAGCACCATTTAAAGACTTATGTTGGGCCTCATTCTGCAAGAAAGTTATATACAACTACATGTTACAATGAGTATTAGCCTTAGAAGAGATCTTCAAAGACAACTATTTAATGTAATGAAAAATTTTGAACCTAGCTAGATGCAGGATGAAAAGAAACTTTGTCCTCTAAGTTGTTGTGCTAAAAGCCATAAATTCAAGGTTAGAAAATCATTGTTGTAAATTCAGCCTTTCTTAGATTCTAGAGCCTTCCAAAATGCATTCAAGCATTCTAAAGCTAGCCCATATGAGAAAGCAAATAGACCAACTGTAAACATTAAACAATAGTATTTTGTAATATTAAAACCTTTCAAAGTTGTTCTCCATACATGTTTCAATAAGATGCAGTATTTTACAAGGTTCTAGACGGGGGGGCTTACTTGCTCTGATGGAGGTGGCTTAAATAGTTTCTGTTCCAAAGCCTTGGAGTCCCATTCAATAGAAAACTCTTGTGCTATGTCATAAATCAATTGAAGCTTCATCTCCTTTGTTGGAGGCTCTCCCTTTAGCTTCTGCACAAACTGTATATAAGGAATTATCTAGGTTAGTACTTAAAGAGATGATATTCCTAAAAATATAAGGCAACATCTTATAGGACCTCAAGCCATCCTTTCATTACCTCTTGATTTAAATAGGATTCTAGGGAATTTCCATATTTCTCAGTAAATATAGTTCTGAGGTCACGTAGTTCTGGCAAATCAGCAAATCTGGCTGCCGCATATATTAGAGATGGTATAGCTTCTCTGCATTCCTCAGGACACTCACTGTATAGGAAAAGAAGTAGATGTCTTACTAAACAGACGATAGCCGAACACAAGAATGTATAATTGAATTGGTGCCTCACATTACTATCAAATAGAAAATCAAAATCAATAGAAATAAAAATAAAAAAAAAATCTTCTCTTGTTAAGCAACAGGGAAATTTTGGGTAAAATGGAAGCATCTTCCTATATCACTATGCTTGAGAGGAGGAAAAGTGGGGGAAATATTTGATTTAACCACTTGAAAAGGTATCAATTTTGTAAACAGAAATAGAGTGCCACAAATTCAAGAGTCTCAACATACCTCTGCTTTTGCATGACTGAAACATGTTTTGAGATGCACTCAGAAAACTGCTCTATGAAATCGTAACAGGCTGTTCTGTTTTGGTCAACCAGAAGACCTTCAGCCTGCATTATGATCCACAAGAAATTATAAGCTTTAACTGATGTAAGATAATTCAGAGGCCTTATCTGCTAATTTGTCTACACCTATACATATACCATGAATAAAATTCCAACTTAGTTGCACTAGTTTTGTTAGCCAAGTAATTAAAGCTATAATAAATTACTTGTATATGGATATATACAAAGTGTGCATATTAATCACACAAGATTGGTTCAATTTGGGAATTCTTAGTTTTTGGAGCGCCTGATGATCCTATTCCGAAAGCAAACATTAGCAATGAAAACATTCGTTGCAACAAAAGAGAAAGGTCAATGTTCATGAACCCTGACGCATGCCAGCACAAATACAGATAATCTAGCAGCTCATATCATGAATTTAAGATACTGCCTTGTCCTCAAGCATCATGCAGCTAACTGTGACCAGGGAAAAACCAGAAGAGTTGTAATCTTGTGGTGCCCAGTTGACGTGCCGCAATCATTTATAGTAATTCATTAACACTCCTAACTCCAAATATTTTTGGCCAAAAAATGTCGGGTGAGAATTGAAGGCAACATAGCACATGAAATATGAGGATTTTTAAAGTTCTGTCTCATGCATGGTATGGTAGGAAACATGTAAACGCAATGCCAACATCTCGTCCCATAATGTGTTCCCATTCTCCCAACTCCACCACCCCCTTTTTTTCACGTTTTTGGGTGTGCATTTCTGTAAAAGTATTTCCTAAAGATGAAGGTGAATATCAACGATTATGAAGCAAGAAACAAGGCATTGAAATTGATGAATCCCAAAACTTGTCAGGATAAAAAAAAAAACCAAAGCTACAACATCATCAATAACAATTATCAAGCTCATATTTCGGGCTTTGCTAGAAAAAGATTATGCAAAAATCATTAAGCAAAGAGAGAAAAACAAAAAGGGCCAAATTGACATAAAAGTAACTACCCTGCCATAAGCATTGTAATCAAGACCGTTCCTGAGAAGCTCAGCAATGTCGTTCTTCAGAAACTTCTCCATCGCATTTCTCTTCTTCTTTATTGTCTCAAGTCTCACCTTATTTGTCCTAATTGCCGATTTGCTAAACCAAAAAAAAAAAAAAACGAAAAATCCAGTCAAACAATAAATACAATGAACAAAAAAGAACCAAAGCACCAAAATTTAATGCAAAAAAAAATAATAATAAGAAGCAAGAAAAAATTTTGGGTTTTGTATGTCTAACCATTTTGCATAAAACTTTCGCTTCATCAACAAGTCAAACATCTTGAGAAACAAAACCAAAAGGAATGTTTTTTTTTTTTTTTTTGGAGAATGAAAATTTTTGTGGGAAGAGGAAGATATGTGAACAAGGATAAAAAAACATGCAACTGAAAGTTTCTTTTCAAGTTACACCTGGAATCTGCATGTCAAAAACTCAAAGAAGCAAAGAAAAGAAGCAGTTTTTTTCAGGGGAAAAGCAAGGATTTCAGAGAATAGGAAGAAAGCTAAAATGGGTTTCTTGTAATAGCAAAGAAAAGAAGCTAAACTAGGTGTCTTTTCAGAGGTTTCAAAGGAGAGAAGGAAAAGGTTCAGTTTAAAGAACGAGAAAGGTAAATCAACCAGACATATAGCTGAAAAAGCAAATAAGAAAAAAAAAAAAAAGGAAAAAAAGAAAATTTGAAACAGAGTAGAAAAATTACCACGTGGGAGTCTCTTATTCTCCCGCTGGGAATAATATTTGTGCGATTTTTTTTTTTTTAATTACCAACTGTGATTGTTTGGCCAAAAAATATTACCAACTATAATTTGTGAAATGATTATAATGGGATGTGACTTTCATGTTTAGGTACTAGATGGGGAGGGTATTTTGGGGATTACCAAGACTACCCTGTAAATACCGCGGGAAACCAACGGTTTGGCTTGGGCTTCCACATTTTGCGGGTTATGTCTGTTTTGTTATGTTTTGATGTTTACCATGGTTTAACTGATTTAACGTATAAGATAAAAATATATTATTAAAAATTTATACAAAATTAATAAAAATAAAAATTATATTTAATATTTAATATATCGATATAAATTAAAATATAATAATTTCTATATTTGATATAAAACATACTATATAAATGCATCATTATTTTTTTATTGTTCTAGTAAAAATATTTTTTTATATTCTTATCTATTTTAAGTTTTAAACTATTGAAAAAAAAATTTACTAACATTTTTACCTAATAATGAAAATTTTTGAGTCGAAAACTTATCATATTTATTGAAAATAAATTGGAATGACTAATTAAAATTAATTTGGTGCATTTTTGATTTTTTTAACTCCAAAAAACCATGCAATAAGAAGGATGTATGGTTCAAATATGGCCAAGAAACGTACACAAAGATTCCCAAATTGCAACTATATGTAGAGTTGAGATTTGGATCATATAGCCATAAATCTATAAGTTTTTCTGGCTTTATTAATGTATGTAGTTCAAGCAGCCAAGTAGAATTTCCATTAAGGTCAAAATATAACTTTTTTTTTTTTGCTTTAATTTTTAATTTGAAGGAGGATTTCAACTCGACTAATTTAAAACATATAAATTTATTATTGAGTGAAATGCTCAAATGCTTTACATGAAACAAAATGAATTTACTTTAGGCAACAAAATTTTGGTCTCTAAAAGGAAAAACTTTGCTGGATTCTATTGAGTTTGAGACTTTTTGTTTACCCAAAAGGATGAGAGCAGAAAGAAAGGACGTGGTGAACTAGTTTTGGCCGGTGGGGAAAGACAACTTGGGGTACAAGTATACAACAAAATCTAATTAACTTATTGATTGAAAAGATTCTTTTACTTTAGATCTTCATCACTAAAATCTAAAATTTAGTTGTCTTCTGAAATTATTGTTTGATGAAACATCTGAAACAAGTCCAAATTCAAAGAATGAAGACAAGTCCATGTCCAAGCAATTATGACTGGGTCTGGAACACAGCTGTGATTTGGAACTTATTCCGTACTTGCATGCCAAGTATGAAAATACATCCTTTTTCTTTCATTCAAAAAAATGTTATAGTTGCCAGTTGTTTAAGTTGAAAATTATAAGCCAAAAAAGCAATATTAAAAAAGAAACTGCTTCAACTTTTCAGTAAGATTTTAGCTAGTTCAAGGGTATATACTAGCTGGGCAAGTTCAGGTTTTAAAGTTGATTCACCTTTATGCTTTAATAGGATATTTTCTCCAAAAAATTTTAATAATCATTCAAGTCTTATTATTTATTGCAATGCTTAAACTTTTTTTTTATCCATTGATTTTTTATTATACGAAAATTGATTAACTGTCAAAACCAAATTCCATTCAATCAAGAATTTAATTGGGGGTAAAAATCAATACTTAATGGTTCAATCCGATAAAAATAAATATTTAATAATTTTACTAATTTAGAACAAAAAAAATTCAAGATTTGTTTGATTATGATAAAATATTAAGGGTTTAAATGATTATTGAATATTTATTTAATAAATCTTTTTATCCTTTTACCTAATTTTTTTAATAGTCTTTTCATCTCAAAGTATTTTTATTGTTTTTTTATAAAATTAATTTAATTTTGATCATTATTTTATAAATTTATAAAACGTAAAATTTTAAAAATCAAATTTACAAATTTTGAATTTCAAATTTTAAATTTTTTAAAATATATATTTAAAAAAATTTAATTAATATAATATTTTAAAAATCAAAAGCAAAATTTAGTTGGGTCCTTGCTTTTGGGTTAAAAAATCACATGATCTATTAAATCTAGTAATTTAAAATATAATACGGTGGTATAACATTAAAACAATAAAAACCAAAACAAAAAAGTAATTCGAGTTAAAATTAAAAAAAAAAATCTATGAATTTAACAAAAACTAAAAATTTATATTTCATGTAGATACAAATTATTACCATTTACATATTTATAAAATATAATATAAATATACAAATTATTAATACACATATAAATATACGTATTATTAGATTTATGTTATAACTTACTTTGTACTTTAAACTCAGCCTTTGATTATTGGCATGATCCTCATTTATCTATTTAATTTTAAATGTTAATTTTTTTTAAAAATAGAATCACTTGTGATAGATAAGTTGGTCCAATCCAACCCTCAACAATAAACTTCTGATTTCATTTTGTTTTTTTGAACACAACATTTTTGCTTTGAATATATGGTTGCTCTTGTTCGTTATCTTCAAAATCCGTTGGCATTAATGGTTGCAACATTGTGTGTACCAGGGAAGGAGATATTGTCTTGGAAGCTTAATCCTTAATTTGGAGAACTTTCTCACGACAATATCTCCTTCCCTGGTACACACAATGTTGCAACCAGGTAGGCCTTGATGTTAATTTGGTTGCAAGTCACGAATGGTTGTTTGCTTCTTCGCGATTCGTTTTTGGTCATAGGCCTATAATGCAGCATCACTGCAGAGGTCGTCATTGGTAAGAGCTTTAGAAGCTGTTTTTTTTTTAATTAAATTTTGTATTGTTGAAATGTGGTTGTGTTGTTGAGGTTGTTGGTGGCAGAGGGTGGAGCTTGGCGGTGGTTCCTTAAATCCGATGTCTACTGGCAGCTTGGAAAGGGCAGTTTTTTTGTCCATTGGGGTCTGTCGTTCCTGGGAAATCGTCCAATAGTTCATCCTCGTGCTCTTATGAAGTGAGTCCTGAAATTGCGAAAGGGAAAAGGGGATTGGAGAAAAAAGCCGAGGTGACAAGCTTTGGGCCACAAAATGTTCACCCAACCCCACCTGCTGTTCACGTAGCCAAAAAAAAATCCACATCAACCGTTGTTAAATACAAATTATTTTGATATTATCAGTCAGCATAATCAACGTCAAATTAATAAATCAATGCACATGTCCGAAGTTAATTGAACCAATTTAAAATCCCAAAAGATATAAATACTCAAATTCTTCAAAATATTACATAGAAATTAAATCCACATTTTCACTTAAGTACGGAAGTTATTAATACAATTTAACCTAAAAGGATGCATGTTAATTAAAACATTCCTTTACAACATTTGTTTTCTATGATGAAAAAAGACCTCAACTAATTTAATATGCACAATTTCTTTTAATAAGAATATATAGAAAAAATTTAAGTTCATATAAAGGAGTTAAAACAAATTACATCTGGATACTCCATTTAGGGGGTAAAAAAACTTGAGAAAGTTGAAAATCGATTCAAGACCATAATATTTGGTTTGGTTCAGATAAATTTTTTTTTTATTTTAGATTAAATTCGGATATTAAAATATATATTAAGTTTATATCGAAAAATTAAAAATAAAAAAAGTATTAAACAAAACCAAATTATATATTTATATTAACATATATATTTTTTTAAAATTTATGAAATAAAAATAATAATTTTATATCAAAAACTATTTAAATACATGAAAATTTTTTACTAAAATAATATATAAAAAATTAAATTTTAAAAACCAACAAACTAATCTGATAAAATTTAATTCAATTTAGATAGAATTATATGAAGACTCAATTTAAATTTGAATCAAATTTTAAAAATTTATAATATTATATAATATTAAAAAAAAACTCAACCGAATTCAAATCCAAATTGTTTTCACCCCTAACTTAGCTACCTCAACCATAGACAAAATTTTGTTGTCTTGAAGCAGACGGAGTAGCCTTACGAAAGAGTCAAGGTAAATGGGCGGTGCTGTCTTCAGGTATAAATCTGAAATAGATGTCTACTTACCGCTTTAGAAAGTTCATGCATGAGTTGAAGGCAGCCAGCAAGAAGTTGGCTATGGAAGGCAGGGAAAAAAGCATGATTGAGTAAGTGAATTGGTTAGGGTTCGCTTTTTTAGTGGAGTAAAGTCGTTATCAAAACTTTTGGATCGCGTCAAAATGAAGGTTTCTTCATCATATCAGATGAGATCCTGCTACGTACGTTAGTCGCAAATAAGATGAAATATACTGCAATAACAAGTCACAGGAAGACTATAAGTATGAATGTCTTCAACTTGACAACGAGCAGGTACTCGTTCAAAATGTTAACATTCCTTCCCCAGCTTGGTCTATTTGTATTATTTTTAATATGGATTTATATTTGATGCACTATATACTGACAAGATTATATTACTTTATTAATTAGATAAATAGAATAATATCACTTTATTAATGAATAATTTTTTTTAAATATTAATTTTTTATATATTTATTTTAAGAACTGATATATAAAATTTATTCATTAATGAAGTAACATTATCTGAATCATTGATAGTGTATAAAATTTATATATTGACAATACATCATATATAAACTTTTTAATATTTAATTTTTAACTGTAGTTGATGAAATGAATAAATTTAAAACATTTTCAAAAAATCATAGATTTAAAAATTGAATTTAAAAATCATGGATAAAAATAAAATATTACATAAAGATCATATACAGTTAATGAAATGAATAAATTTAAAACATTTTCAAAATGTCATAGATTTAAAATTGAATTTAAAAATCATGGATAAAAATAAAATATTACATAAAGATCATATGACATAAAAATTTGAATTTTTTTTTGTTAAATAAAAATTTAGAAATAAGAGATATTACTCCATCTTTAAAACTAGAGTAAGTTGTTAATTCAATTGGGATTTACGGATTTATTAAATTTTCATCTGTAAATTTTTTGAACTTGCCTATCAACGAAAGACAATGAGGAGATTCGAACTAAATACTAATACATCCAGCATTTTTAGATATTACTTTTTGAAAAAAAAATGTATGAACTAAAAAACTTTTACTACATTGCTATATATTGACTAGAAGGGCGTTTCTTACACAGAAAAACGCGGTGGCTAAACTGATATTAATTGATGATAGTGATTACCATAAATTTAAAGAGAAAGAGAGACAACGATGGATTAGGATACAGGTCCTGCTGCATAGTCGAGATGATTTTGGCCTTACAACTCCAACAAAGCATTTTAATTGCTGCATGTGGGCATTGATGATATGAACATTCTGACCAAAGACAAAAGCTAGTGAGTTCATTAATGGCTGAAATATTTTGTTGATTGAGACTAGGGAGATAAGGGTTAATGTCTTAATATATTCTTAATAAGATTAGATAGTGCTCCCTTTATGTGGGCTAAGCGCAATGAGTTATCACCTGTAAAATAAAGAACAGTGTTTGGGGCAAGTAATGGGGAGTTGTTCTTGTTCCCTCCTTACCCCTCAGCCGTGTGAGCCCATGACCCTAATGCCTAATCCTAACTCCCCCAAGAGAACGTACTGAGCGTCAAGGTTTCAGACTATAGGGCTTATCTAATGGGTATATGGTTTTCGGGTATAAAGCCCTTTAATTTTGGGCCTAATAAGTAGTAATGACAAGTTACTTCAGTATTGTTTTCTGGTTGAGTTGCAAAAAATCTGTCTAATTTGTACGAATTTAAACTGACTTAATTTTAAAAAAATAATAATATGAATTTGAATTAACTGAAACGATTCAAATCTAAACAATCAGAAAAATTAACTAGAAATTACTCTGATTTGATTTTAAAACTAAGCAATTTGTATTGAAATGACTCGAATCTTAATAACTTTAGTGTTAAACCCAAATGATCCGAACTCAACATTCTCCGCCCGTTTGTCATTGGTTAGGGTAAAAAAATTTTTGGATGTTTTTTCAAAGGATGTTTTAGTCCATAATGGGATGGGTGGTGGCCCAAAATGTGAGTTCCAACGGGCTTCACGTGTTTACGAAAGGAAATAGATGCAGTGACGCCTTTGTTCGGTTTGATAGTAATAATTATTGTAGTAATTTTAGTCATTATGAGATCAATTATGTAATGTTTAGTGAACCTCTTTTTTTTTTTTAAGTTTTAATCTTCGCTGATGAAACTAGATATATTATATATCGTATTATTTTATAATTAATTCATTTCTGTTCTTACAAAAAAAAAATTTCTATGCCTCCGTGGGTCCATGAATCAAGGCAAAGTAGGATAATCCCTCCGCAAACCAAAAATGAAAAAAAAAATACGAAAAGATCTGCTATAGGAATTTCATTAGCACAGTCAATACCCTCTTCAAATCTTCTCTACAAAAAGAAAAAAACTTTGTTATACAATGATATTAATTCCAGGTCCTAATTAATTCTAGTCATTAATCCGGGAACTGATCTCTTCAAGTATCTAACATGCAGTGTGCTACATGAAACTTTAGATCCATCAATGGATACCATCCCACAAAATGATCCAAGCTCGGTCTGAAAAAACAAAAATGGGTGTAAAAGCATTGTTACTGTTATTCACCTCAACGGTCCTATATATTATTCAAAGAATATCAATATATAGGAAACCATGCATGATCAGAAATAAAAATCAGGTTAGGCTGTATATGCTACTATCAAAAACATCTCAAGAGGTTGATGTGAAAATGGAACAAGTAGTTTTCTCGATCGAGCAATTCGCGTCGAACCAATCTTTCAAAGTCGAGGTTTCGCGGTCGTAGAAGATTGCTGTAATAAAGCAACGTTGTGACCGAGGCCGTTGGCTGAGACACTAGCGCAGTTACTAGCCTTGCTAGCGACCGTACCATGAGAGACTGCATGAACATCACAAAAATGCCAGAGAAAAATAAAATAATATGAGGGAGAGTCCATACCATGAAACTGATTGAAGGTTCGAAAATTGACAAGTGAGGAAGATGAGTTGATTGAAGAGAAAAGCTGGAGATGGAATGAATCCAATAGGTAAGGAGGAGAGACTGAGACTGAAAGACAAGCGAGATAGATGGTTGATAAGCTAACTGAATTTTTTCAAAATTTCTCTAGCTGCCAATCTTCAGCTGATGTTCATACCTACCCTCTCCTATTGTCAACAGCTGCAAAACTGTTAAAATTGCAATACAACAACCGAGAAACCCAAGCTAATGGATTCACTAGAAGCCCAAATTGAGGCATTCATCAACCCCACTAAATTCTTAGTAAGTCACAATAAATGACAGGAGCCTCGATGTTTACTTATATTTCTGTTGCAAGTGAACTTTTTCAATTTCCCGCACACAAAAAATTGACTAGCTCGACGTTCTTGTCGAGGTTCTGGTATTATAACTTCGTAATTCGGTAATGATCAAACCCTCTTAAACAGGCGGCTAACACATGTTTTTATTTTTGTTGGAAAGAAGTCGCAGTCTAGAAATAAGAAAAAGATTGTAAGTATGAAACTTGAATCCTAAATCTGTTTAAATAAGTTATTACACGAAGCAATTTAGCTAGCAATCGAGCTAAATGAAGAGAATTAACAGAAATTTCATCAATTGTTGAAGATTAGAATCCTATGGAAAACTGGATAACCTTATTGAATTTTTCTGATTATCATGGAAAGTAATTTGGCCAAAAAAATCCTCAATTATATACTGCCAAAGCAGTATAATAAGATGAGAAAAAATCCGTTAAATAATCAATTGACTAAGCATTAAATGTATGTACTGCATATTTACTTCATGATTATTTGTTAGTGTGTTAGTGGTTGAAGCAACTAGGTATGACATTTTTACTGGCACTTTATAACAGGTTCTGCCATCTAATCAGTTTAGGTAATATGATGGATCTGTGCATAGTGATCCATACTATTAGGCAAATAACTTTTGTAGTAGTTAAATAAACTTTTGTATTTTTAAAGCTTATAAATTAATGAAATGAAGCTCATGATCTGTAGAGCCAATTTACTTCAAGTGACAGATTAGCTTCTTCTGTTTTTTTGTTCTTCCTCTGCTCTAAATCCTTCAATTGGTATCAGAGCATTCTTTACGGTCTTAGAGGATCTATGAGTTTAAAAAATTGAGTGAAAAGCCATCAAACACTTACCAACTAGCTTTTGTCAACCTTAAATGGCCTCAAGCAATTGCTCCTTACCTCCACCTCTTATTTTTTCTGGTGAGAACTATCAGATATGAGCTGTCAAAATGAAGACATATTTGAGTGCTTTTGATTTGTGGGAAGTGGTGAAAAATGAGAAGGAACCACGATAACTTCTTACAAATCCAACAGTAACTCAAATGAAAAATTATAGTGAAGAAAAAGCAAAGAGGTACAAGGCTAAAAGCTGTATTGAGTCTTCAGTTTTTTATGACATATTCATTAGAATCGTGACTTGTGAAACTGCAAAACAAGCTTAGGATGTGCTCAAGGAAGAGTTTCAAGGCAGTGACAAGACAAGATAAATGCAAGTGTTGAATCTTAGAAGAGAGTTTGAAGTCTTAAAAATGAAGGAGTCTGAAAATTTAAAGGAGTACAATGACAGACTCATGAAGATAGTAAACAAGATTAGATTACTTGGTGAGGAGCTGTCAGACAAAAGAATTGTAGAGAAGGTTCTTGTCAACTTACCAGAGAGGTTTGAGTCAAAAATCTCATCCCTTGAAAACTCAAAGGACCTGATCAAGATAACTCCAGCAGAATTGTTCAATGCTTTACAAGTTCGAGAGCAAAGAAGGGCTATCAGACAAGAGGATTCAACAAAAGGTGCTTTTACAGCTAAGGAGAAAGGTAAGATGCAAACAGAAAGTAAAGGCAAAAAAAACAAGGAGATCAAAGAAACAAAGATTCTAGAAACAATGAAAAGAAAAAAAAATTCCCACCTTGCTCTCACTGCAAAAAAACCACTCACTTGGAGAAATATTGTTGGTACAGACCGGACATACAATGTAGGTACTGTAAGCAACTTGGTCACATGGAGAAGGTATGTAAAAACAAAAAATAGCAACAGCTAGATCAACAAGCCAGAGTTGCTGACAATCAACAACAGCTAGAAGAGCAAGTTTTTGTTACAACTTGCTATGAAACCAGAACCTCTTCAAGTGCATGGCTCATTGATAGTGGCTGCACACACCATATGGCATCTGATATCAACATGTTCAAAGAATTAGACAAGATCTGCACCTCTAAAGTTAGAATAGATAATGGTGATTTTATAGAAGTCAAATGAAAAGGAGTAGTGGCAGTTGAGACACCAACAGGTACCAAACTCATTTCAGATGTGTTATTTGTGCCTAAAATAGATCAAAACCTGTTAAGTGTAGGACAGTTGCTAGAAAATAACTACTCTTTACTTTTTAAAGACAAGGCATGCATAATTCATAATCCTATTGGCCATGAACTCTTTACTATTAATATGAAAGAAAAATGTTTTTCCTTGAATTGGCATGAAGCAAACTCCTCTGCATATGCTACTTCACATGATGAATCTTTTTTATGGCATAAAAAGATGGCACATTTCAACTACAATGCATTGAATTTCATGCATAAAAATGATCTTGTATTAAACATGCCTACTGTTGAAGTCAGTACTGGAGTGTGTGAGAAAAACAAAGTAAGTTGCCATTTGCAATTAACAAAGCATGGAGGGCAACTGAAAAACTACAACTTGTTCATACTGATGTTTGTGGTCCTATGAGAACCTTGTCCTTGAATGACAGTAGATATTTCATTGCTTTTATAGATGATTTTACCAGAATATATTGGATTTACTTCATGAAACAAAAGTCTGAAGTTACAAATGTATTTTGGAAGTTCAAGGCTTGAATTGAGAATTAAAGTGGCTGCAAAATCAAGATCATAAAGTCCGACAATGGTACTGAATACACATCTAACATATTTAATGAGTTTTGTGAAGTTGCAGGAATTAAACACCAACTTACAGTAACTTACACTCTACAACAAAATGGAGTCAGTGAAAGGAAAAATAGAACAATCATGGAGATGGCAAGATGCATGCTGTTTGAGAAGAATCTTCTTAAAAAATTTTGGGCAAAGGTAGTCAATACCTTTGTCTACTTGCTCAACAGGCTGCCCATAAAAGCTTTGAAGGGAAAAACTCCTTTCGAAGCCTGGTATGAAAGCAAACCATCAGTGCACCACCTCAGAGTTTTTGGCAGCATCTGTTATGTGTTCATTCTTGATATCAAAAGGGACAAACTTGATCAAAAAGTAAAAATATGTATTTTTTTGGGCTATAGCAACATCACCAAAGGCTATAGGACTTACAATCCACTTACAGGCAATATGATTGTAAGTAGGAATATGAGATTTAATAAACAAGCTGCCTGAAATTGGGAAAAGTCAAAAGGAGAATCAGTCAAGCAAACAGTTGTAGACATGATAAGCTTCCAAGATCAAGAAGATTATATGTTTGAAAATGAAATCATTGATCATGAACCAGTGAGAGAAATCAGACCACTCACAGATATTTATCAAAGATCAAATGTTGCCATTCTTGAACCTGCAAGCTTTGAAGAAGCTGTCAAATTTTCAAAGTGGAGAAATGCCATGAAGGAGGAGATTCATATGATTGAGAAAAATCAAACATGGATGCTGATTGACAGACCAAACAACAAAAACATCATTGGTGTTAAATGGATTTTCAGAACAAAGTTGAATGCTGATGGTTCCATCAATAAACTTAAAGCTAGATTAGTAGCTAAAGGTTACTCACAACAGCTTGGTGTTCATTTTTCAGAGACATTTGCTCCAGTTGCAAGGTTGGACACCATAAGGCTGCTATTAGTCTTAATAACTCAGCAAAGTTGGAAAATATACCAACTTGATGTCAAATCTGCCTTCTTGAATGGTTATCTTGAGGAAGAGATTTACATTGAACAACCTGATGATTTTGTTGCCAAGGGACATGAAGGCAAAGTCTATCTACTCAAGAAGGCTTTGTATGGATTAAAACAAGCTTCAAGAGTGTGGAATTCCAGAATTGATGATCATTTCTGAAGTTAAGATTCAAGAAAAGCCTCAGTGAAGCAACATTATACGTTAAAGTTTTTAACAGTAATGATCTGTTGATTGTTTCTTTGTATGTTGATGATCTTTTGGTGACAAGTAGTAAATCAGCTCTTATGAAAGATTTTAAGCTCCAAATACAAGAAATTTTTAAGATGACAGATATGAGAGAAATGTCTTATTTTCTTGGAATGGAAATTCATCAAGACCAGCAAGAAATTTTCATTTGTCAAAGAAAATATGCAAATGAAATCCTGAATAAGTTTGGGATGAAAAATTACAAACCAGTCAACACTCTTTTGGCTCAAAATGAGAAACTTATTAAGGAAGATGGAGCTAACAAAGTTAATGGTTTTATTTATAGAAGCTTGGTTGGTTGCTTATTGTATTTGACAGCAACAAGGCCAAACATCATGTATGCTGCAAATTTACTCTCTAGGTTCATGCAAAATCCTAATGAGTTGCATTTTAATGCTGCAAAAAGAGTGTTGAGATATGTCAAAGGAACCAATGAACTTGGAATTTTGTTCAAGAAGAATGAAAGTTCAAGATTGGTGGGATTCACAGACAGTGACTGGGCTGGCTCTCATGAAGACATGAAAAGCACTTCAGGCTATGCATTTTTCATTGGATTAAATGTGTTCAGCTGGAATTCAAAGAAACAAGAAACTGTGGCTCAATCAACAGCAGAAGCAAAGTATATAGCTCCTACAGCTGTTGTTAATCAAGCAATTTGACTAAGGAAAATTTTGTTGGATTTGAGTCAAAAGCAAGATGATCCAACATAAATTTTTTGTGATAATCAGTCAGTAGTTGCAATGGTCAAGAACCTTGTGTTTCATGAAAGAACTAAGCATATTAAGATCAAGTATCACTTTATTAGAGAGGTTGAAGCTGAGAATGAAGTGAAATTGGTGCATTGCAAGTCAGAAGATCAAATTGCAGATATTCTGACCAAAGCCTTACCAAAGGCAAGGTTTGAAACATTAAGGAAAAGTCTTGGTGTTTCCAGCAGAAATGCCAAGGAGGAGTGTTAGTGTGTTAGTGGTTGAAGCAACTAGGTATGACATTTCTACTGGTACTTTGTAATAGGTTCTGCCATCTGATCAGTTTAGGTAATATGATAGATCTGTGCATGGTGATCCATACTATTAGACAAACAACTTTTGTAGTAGTTAAATAAACTTTTGTATTTTTGAAGCCTATAAATTAATGAAATGAAGCTCATGATCTGTAGAGCCAATTTACTTCAAGTGACAGATTAGCTTCTGTGGAAAAATATTTAGTTACAAGTGGTTATATTTTGTAATCTGCTAATTGTAATCTGTATATATCTGTATCCCTAAAATTGAGAATTTGTATCTCTAGAATTAAGGACAGAATATCAAGATAGACAATTCCTTGATTATAGGGATTAGATTTAGGAATATTTAGTTTCCTAGTTTACTCTCTAGCTAGCTGTATTTAAATCTATGGTGTTTGTATGATTCAATACACAAGTTTTCAATATACTCTCATTTTTCCACATGGTATCAGAGCTTTAAACTCTTCTTGGGAAGAAAATTTCTCAGCCTTCATTACTGAATTTTTTTTTTTTTGGCCTTCATAGCCAAATTTTGTTAAATCTGTCATACTTTTATTTTGTTTCTTTTTGGCCTTCATTGCTTATACTTGTTTCAGTCTTGAGAAAGGTAATCATGTCAGAAATAGCAGAATCTGTCGCTACTACTCGATTTGGAGAAATAACAACTGGTCAAACCACAACGAAATTACAGAATATCCAAGCTGCATACAGGTTGAATGGAAAGAACTACTTGAAGTGGTCTCAGTTGGTTCAAACCTTTTTAAAAGGGAAAGGAAAATTGAGCCATCTTCTTGGCACTGGTCTTGAGAAAGGAGATCCAAAATTAAGGCTGGGATGAAGAGGATTCTATGGTTTATGTCATGGCTGTGGAATTCTATGATCCAGATATTAGTGACACTTATCTGTTTTATCCAACGGCCAAAAGACATTTGGGAATCAATTCGTCAAACCTATTCCAGTTAAAGATGCTGCTCAAGTTTATGGGAGGTCAAAGATCAAGACTGCAGCTCTCAAAACAAGGGAATAAGTCAGTCACAGAGTAGCTACTTCTCTTAAATCTATGGCAAGAGATGGATCAATTACCGCTGCATGAAAATGAAGCAGTGACGATCAACAATTGAAGAAATTTATTGAAAAAGATCGAGTCTATGATTTTTTTGCTGACTGAATGTTGAGTTTGATCAAGTCAGGAGCCAAATTCTAGAAAACAAGATCTCCTTCTTAAAAATGAAGTGATATCCATAGTTAGAGCAGAAGAGAGCAGAAGAGGAGTGATGCTTGACAGTGTGCATGTAGAAGGATCTGCTATGGTCTCTAATGGTGAGAAGAACAATTACCAGTCAGTGACAATGGGAAAGGTGATTCGACTAAAACTTCAAATCGCGACAATCTTTGGTGCACCTATTGCAAGAAGCCAAGACACACCAGAGATCGTTGCTGGAAACTACATGGAAAACCTTCAACTTCAAGCAAAGAATGGGGTTATAAAAGAGGACAGCCAAGAAATCAATGACAAGCTCACATGACTGCAATGGAGTTAAACCAGGAGAAGTCTCAGGAACAAAGAGAGTTGGATAAAAAAGAGATTGAGAAACTGAGAAGCCTATTGGGAACTCTTGAAAAGGCTACTGGTGTATGCTCCTTGGCACACTCAGGTAAGGACTCTGGTGCAGGTAAAGTCTCTAATTCTCATGGATTAAATGTCTCAGATAAGTCCATTAAGAGTTCTTGGGTCATTGACTCAGGAGCCACAGACCACATGACACATTCTTCACAAAAGTTTAGTATATATACCCTATATCCTGGTACTAAAAAAATTACTGTTGCAGATGATTCACTTACTACAGTGGCAGGATTAGGAGATGTTCAAATTAATCCCTCATTCATTCTTAAAAATGTTCTTCATGTTCCTAGATTGTCTACTAATCTGATATCTATACAAAGACTTACTAGAGACATGAACTGCAATGTGACTTTTTATCCCTCTTACTGTGAATTTCAGGACCAGGGTTCGGGGAAGAAGATTGGACTTGCTAAGGAGAAGGATGGACTATACTATCTTGAGACATCCAACAACATAAGTAATATCAAGAATAGTTTACCTTTGTCATTTCTTT